TTTTAGAGAGAGAGAGACCTCAATTTGTATTTCCACTTATTTATGCATTCATTGGTTGCTTCTTGTATGCGTCCTGACTAGGAATTGAACCCATAACCTTGGCATGTCAGGGCGATGCTCTAACCAACTGAGCTACCTGGCCAGGGTCATAATTTTTCTTTCCTATCTTTTTAATGTCTGTAGAATCTGTAATGAGGTCTGTTCTTTTATATTTCTTTTTAAAATTAGGTTTTATTGATTATGCTACTACAGTTATCCCAGTTTTTCCCCCTTTACCTCCTCCACCTAGCCTGCCCTCCTACTCTTGCAGGCAATCCCCACACCATTGTACATGTCCATGGATCATGCCTGTATGTTCTTTGGCTACTCTATTTACTATGCTGAACTTTATATCCCCATGACTATGCTGTTACTACTAGTTTGTACTTTTTAATCCCTTCACCTTTTTCACCCATCCCTGCCGATCCTCCCTCATCTGGAAACCATCAAAATCTTCTCTGTATCTACAGTTCTGTTTCTATTCGGCTTGTTTGCTTATGTTGTATTTTAGATTCAATTGTTGATAGATATGTATGTATTGCCATTTTATTGTTCATATTTTTTATCTTTTTCTTAAATAAGTCCTTTAACATTTCATATAATAATGGTTTGGTGAGGATGAACTCCTTTAGTTTTTTCTTGTCTGGGAAGCTCTTTATCCACCCTTTGATTCTAAATGATAACTTTGCTAGGTAGAGTAATCTTGGTTGTAGTCCTTGCATTTCATGACTGTTTCTTGCCAATCCCTTCTAGCCTGCAGTTTCTTTTGGGATATCAGCTGAACTGTCTTATAGGAACAACCCTGTAGGTAACTAACTGCTTTTCTCATGCTGCTTTTTTATTCTTTGTCTTTAACCATTCGCATTTTATGTTTTTTACTTATTTCGTATTGTATTTTATTGATTATGCCATTACAGTTGTCCTGATTTTTCTCCCTTTGCCCTCCCTCCAGACAACATCCCCCACTCTCCCATACCATTCCCATACCATTATTCATGTCCATGGGTCATGCGTGTAAGTTCTTTGGCTACTCCATTTCCTGTACTGTACTTTACATCCCCATGGCTATTCTGTAACTACCTATTTGCACTTCTTCGTCCCCTACCTCTTCACCCATTCCCCAACACCCCCTCCCATCTGGCAACCATCAAAACTCTCTCTGTATCCATGATTCTGTCCCTGTTGTTCATGTGTGCTTAGTTTGTATTTTAGAATCAATTGTTGACAGATTTCTATTTTTTGCCATTTTAGTTTTCATAAGTTTGCTCTTCTTTTTCTTAAGTAAGCTCCTTTAACATTGCATGTAGTAATGGTTTGGTGATGGTGAACTCCTTTAGTTTTTCCTTGTCTGGGAAGCTTTTTATCTGTCCTTCAATTCTAAATGATTATCTTTGCTGGGTAGAGCAATCTTGGCTGTAGGTCCCTGCTTTTCATCACTTGGAATATTTCTTGCCAGTCCCTTCTAGCCTGCAGGGTTTCTTTTGAAAAATCAGCTGACAGACTTATGGGAACTCCCCTTTAGGAAACTAACTGCTTTTTTCTTGCTGCTTTTAAGATTTTCTCTTTATCTTTAACCTTTGGCATTTTAATTATGTGTCTTGGAGTGGGCCTCTTTGCATCCATCTTATTTGGGAATTTCTGTGGCGTCAAATTAGGGAAGTTTTCTTTAATTATTTTTTCAAATAGATTTCCAATTTCTTGCTCTTTCTCTTCTCCTTCTGGCACCTCTATTATGTTGGACCTCTTGAAATTGTCCCAGAGGCTGCTTATACTATCCTCATTTTGGGGGAGGGAGGGCTTTTTTTTTTTTTTCTTGTTGTTCTTGATTGTTTTTTGCTTCCTTATGTTCCAGCTCATTGGTTTGATTCTAGGGTTCATCCACTGTACTGTTGTTTCCCTGTAAATTGTTCTTTTTTTCAATTAGTGTATCCTCTGTTTCTTACTGGGTCTTTTTTATGCTGTTGAGGTCCTCACCAAGTTCCTTGAGCATCCTTATAACCAGTGTCTTAAACTCTGCATCTGATAGATTGCTTATCTCCCTTTTGTTTAGTTCTTTTAGTGGAGTTTTGATCTTTTCTTTCATTTGGGCCATGTTTCTTTGTCTCCTCATTTTGCACCCTCCCTGTGTTGGTGCCTAAATATTAGGTAGAGCTGCTATATCTCCCAGGCTTAATAGAGTGGCCTAATGTAGTAGGTGTCCTATAGGGTCCAGTGTCACAGCCTCCCTTATCACCCAAGCTGGGTACTCAAGATGTGGCCACCGTGTGGGCTGTGTACACCCTTCTCTTACAGTATAGACTTGATTGCTGTCAGCAGGTCAATGAGAAGGATTTACCTTCAGCTTCAAGGACTAGCTGTGACCACTCACCCCCATCCTCCAACAACCGTGGATGATAAGCTGTGCAGAGGTCCACTCCACAGAGCAGGACTTACTTTAGCAGGGTTCTGGTGTCGTCTGCGTCCACCTCTTGAGTGTGTTGTTTGTGGAAGTGGTTGGATGGTAGTGTTCCAATGTGGGCTGCAACTGTCCTTTGGGTATGCATGCTCTGGGGCTTCCTGGGATGTGCAGGCCAAGGTTAACTGCTGCCTGTGTTCTGTTCGGGGCCATTTGGCATAAGCTACAAAGTGATCTGCAGATGGCTGCTACTTGTGCTTGGCTTAGAGGTGCACCAGCAAGGCCAAACTGTGAACCAAGGCAGGATGCATATCCTGGGACCACTTAGGAAGAGGTATGGGGCATGATGAGGCCAGATGCTACTTGTTTGATAGGATTTAGGAAAATCTGACCCGTGAGCCAAGACATGCCCTTCCTAGGGAAAGCCACTGGAAATAACTTAGGTGGGCAGGAAAGTTGGGATGGGCAGAACCTCAGTGAATGATCAGGGTGGGGCAAACAGTGTGAGTCAGGTAGATGGAGTCTCAGATATGATGCCTGCCTGCCTGCTGGCTCTGGGGGTGGGGCTCAGAAAAGGAACAGTGGACTCTGCCAGCACTTTTGTCTGAGAGTAAGCTGCCCCCTCGTCAGTTTCTCCCCTTATGCTTCTGGTAGCTTTCAAGCTGCTGCCCTGGTGCTGGAGTGCAGAAGGAATGAGTCTGAGTAAGTCTGTGTGTGGGCCCTTTAAGAGGAACTGCCTAGGACTCCAGTGGTTTCTGTCTTCCACAGCCTCAGTTCCCACTGGTTTTTACAGCCAGAAGTTATGGGGACTTCTTTTCCTGGCACTGGAATCCTGGGCCGGGGGGGGGGGGGCTTGTGGTAGGGCTGAGACCTGTCACTTCCTGAGATATCCCTCCCAATTTTTTTTTTTTTTTTTTTAGAATTTTATTTTTCTTAATCTTTTAAAAAAGATTTTTTTAAAAATTTTATTTTTAGACAGAGGGAAAGGGAGGGAGAAAGACAGGAGAAAAACATCAATGTGTGGTTGCCTCTTGTGCGCCCCCTACTGGGGACCTGGCCCGCAACCCAGGCATGTATGCTGACTGGGAATCGAACCAGTGACCCTTTGGTTTGTAGGCCGATGCTCAGTCCACTGAGCCACACCAGCCAGGGCTCCCTCCCAAATTTTAACCACCACAGATGGATATAAGACCAGCCTGTCTGAGTGTCTGTGCCTCCTTCCATTCTTGATATGGCTCCTTTAGTTCCATAGTTGTTGGACTTAACGTTTAGCTTGATTTCTGATGGTTCCGAATAATGGTTTTTCTGTAATTTAGTTTTACTTTTGATATGGTTGTACATGAAGGCCAGCCATGTTTACCTAAGCTGCTGTCTTCTGTTCTTTTATTTCTGATACTGGTAATTTGTATCTGTTAATTATTATGCTAGAGGTTTTTCAGTATTGGTCTTTTCAAAAGACAAGCTTTTAGTTTCATTAATTTCTGTATTGTGTTTTGTGTTTCATTGATTTTTGCTGCTGTGTATGATTTTCTCCGGTCTGCTCCTTTTAGTTTAATTTGGTCTTTTTCTAGTTTCTTAAAGTAGAAGCTTAGATCACTGATTCGAAACTTTTATTATTTTCTAATAATGTTTAATGTGTCGATTTCTCTTTAAGCATTGCGTTAGCTGTGCCTTGCAACTCTTAAAATTTTTTTTTTAAATTGATTTTTAGAGAGAGAAGGGAAAGGGGACAGAGAGAGAGAAAAGGAGAGAGAAATACTGATTTGTTGTTCCACTTGTTTATGTGTTCATTGGTTGATTCTTGTATGTGCCCTGACCTGGGATCGAACCTGCAATCTTACCTTAACAGGATGGTGCTCTATCTAACTAAGCTGCCCCACCAAGGCCACAGATTTTGATATGTTATAATTTATTAACTTTATTTGACCATATTTTCTTTTTTACCTTGGGATATCTTATTTAGAAGTATGTTGTTTCATTTCCAAATATTTGGAGATTTTCCAGTTTTCTTTTTGTTAGTGATTTCTAATTTAATTACCCTCTGTTCAGACCATGCTTTGTATAATTTCAATCCTGTTATATTTATGGAGGTTTATCTTATGGTCCAGAATATAATTTTTATTGGTAGCTCTTTTATATCTATTAGAAAAGAATATGTATTCTGTTTTGAGCGGTGCTGTTCTGTAAGTGTCAATTGGGTCATGTTGATGATAGCATTGTTCAAGTCTTCTATTTTTACTAATTTTTTTGGTCTATTCTATCAGTTTTGAGAAAGGAATATTTAACTCTTCAGCTTTAATTGTGGATTGTCTACTTTTTTTTTCAGTTTTATCAGTTGTAGCTCTGTGTATTAAAACTGTTTTTAGGTGCAAGTTTCTCATACCATCATGCGTTGATTGTGTTTTGAGTGTTAAAGCAAACTTACATTTTTGGGATAAACCTATTTGGTCTTGACGTATTAGACTTTCAGCATACTGTTTGATTCCATTTCCTAATATATTGTTTAAGGTTGTTGTGTCTTTATGTATGAGAGTTATTTGCTATAGTTTTCTCTTTTTTTGTGCTGCCTTGTCATTTGTGGTTAAAGGGGCCATGGGGTGGGGAGCAGACAGTCCCAGTTAATGTGCAAGCACATGCTCTGATACTGCAGCTTGAGCCTGAGACAGGAGCTCAAAGGCAGTGCGTAATTTTCCTTTCTTATAATGCCCTTTTTTAAAATTGACTTGAGAGAGGGAGAGACATCAATTTGTTTTCCCACTTACTTATGTATTCATTGGTTGATTCTTGTATGTCCCTTGACAAAGCATCAACCCACAACCTTGGCATATGGAGACACCCTCTAACCAACTGTGTTACACTGCCTGTAATGTGTTTTTCATGTATTGGTATCAGGGTAATAAAATGAGTTTATAAAACTGGACTTACAAAATGAGTTTGGGAGTTTTACATTATTGTTTATTGTAAGATTGGTATTATTTCTTTCTTAAACGTTTTGTGAAAATTAACCAAGAAAGGTATCTAGGCTTGGAGTTTAATTTGTCAGAAGGTTTTTAAATTATGAATTAAGTTTCTTTAATAATTATAGTACTATTCAGATTTCCTATTTGTTTTTGTTTTGGTAAGTTGTGGTTTTCAAAGATTTGTACCATTTCTCTAAATTGTCAAATTTGTTGATATAAAGTTGTTTACAATATGCTTATTTTGTTGATGTTTGGCTAGAGACATCAATTTTATTAATCTTTTCAAAGAACCAACTCTTGGCTTTCTTGACTTTTTTTCTATTTAATATGTTTTATATTTCATTTTCTGGTCTTTATTATTTTCTAAAATTTACCTTGGGTTTGATTTGTTCTTTTCTAGCTTCTTGTAACATTTTTCAATCTGTGTTTATTCTTTTTGTTGTTGTTTAAAATTTTCTAATATGTGCATTTAAAGTTGTAACTTTCCCACTAAGCATTGCTTTAGATTTATTCTGCAACTTTTGATGTGTCATATTGTTTTCACTCCTCTTAATCCATTATTTCCAATGCATTATGATTTCTTCTTTGGGCTGTGGATTATTTAGAGATATGTTGCTTAATTTCCAAACATATGAGGATCTTTGTAGTTAAATTTATTTATTCATTTCTAGTAATTCCATGGTCGTCAAAGAACATACTCGGTATGATTCCTGACCTTTGAAAATTGTTGAAACTTGTTTAGCATATGGTGTTTTGTGTGCCCTTAAAATGAATATGTATTTTGTGGTTCTAAATATGTAGTTTAAGTCAAGTATAATGTTCTATAAATATCTGTAATCAGTTCAGGTTTGTTAATTGTTCAGCTCTTTTATGCCCTTACTGATTTCTTTGCTGTTATATTATTAATTGATATTTGTTTGTGGCTTTCACCCCTTTTCCTGTCAACCTTTGTTTTATTTGTTTAAGCTGTATTATCAGATACATAGAAATTTAGAATTATATGTTTCTATTAAATTGACTCATTTAGCATGAAATGTTCCTTTTTTACCTGTCTTTATCTTGCTTTAAAGTCTACTTTGTATTTGACGTTAGTATATGCATGGTATAAAGGTTTATATTCTTCTGTTTTCAACCTTTTTTTGTATCTTTGTATTTAAAACATATAAATAGCACAGAATTTTTTTTAAATACATCTGGTCTGAAAATTTTTGTCTATTAATTAGCTTGTATACTTCATTTGTAGTTACTGTAATTTCTGATATAGTTGAGTTTTCTTTCTTTTCTTTCTTTTGTTTTTAAATCATGTTTATTCTCTTAGAGTTGTCTCAATTTTTCCCCTCTCTGCCCTTCTTGATATAGTTGAGGTTTCTTTGGCGCTATCTCTTGCTTTTTTATTCTCTTTTCTTTCATTTGCATTAATCAAGTACTTTTATTTATCGTTTCTTTTAGCTTTTTCATTTTATGTTCTTCTACATGTTATCTTATAAATTAACAATATACAGCTTTGAAATTACTACAATTTGCCTCAAATTATTACTTTTACTACTTCCCAACAGTGCAAGAATTTTTCACAATTTTACTCTATATATTTATTCCTGCCTTTTATACTATTGATATTATATTTTACTTCCTCATATGTTTTAAACTGTAAAAGTCATTATTATTACTATTTTAACCAGTCAATATTCATTTGTTTATCACATAGTTAATCTTCTTGATGCTCTTGATTTATCCTGAAGTTCTTTGCCTCATCTGAGATAAATTTCTTCCTTTGAGATAATTTTTTCTACCTGTAAGAATTTCCTTTTGTATTTCATATAGACCTGGTCTGTCAATAATTTATTTCAGATTTGTATGTGGGGGGGGGTGGAAGTAATTTTAGTTTTGCCTTACTTTTTAAAGGTTATTTTTACTGGGCATAGAATTTTAGATTGCACTCTTTTTCCCCTAGCGTTTTGATTTTAATTTTTTAAATTTAATTTTATTTTTTAAAATTTATTTTAGAGAGAGAGAGAAACATTGATTTGTTGTTTCACCTATTCATGAAGGTTGTCTCTTGCATGTGTCATGGCTGCGGACCGAACCTGCAACCTTGGCATACTGGGATGATGCTCCAACCAGCTGAGCTGCCCAACCCAGCCCCCCTAGTACTTTTAGTTGCGTTTTATTTTATTCTGGTTTTATTGTTTAATTTTTTATTTTTCAATTACATTTTTATATTCAGTATTAATTTATATTCGTTTCAAGTGTATAACGTAGTGCCTAACGAGTCGTATACTTTACAAAGTGTTCCCCTGGATGTTTTAAGTACTCACCTGGCACCATACATTGTTATTACACTATTATTGACTATATTGCCTGTGCTGTACTTTACATCCACATGTGGTTTCCTTTGTTTTTATTGTAATGTTGGCTATTAGTTTTGTTATTTTGGTGATGTGTCTTTTTTCCTTTGGCTGCTTCTAATATATTTTCTGTTTTTCAGCATTTTGACTATTATTTGTCTAGTTTGCTTTTCTCTTTTTATCTGGTTAGGGTTTGTAGAGTTCCTTGAATGGGTGATTTGATACCTTTCATAAGTTTAAAAATTTGTCAGTTTTTTCCCCCTCTTCTTTTTCTTTATTTAGAGAATTTTATGAATTTATTTGAGCCAAACTGATGACAATTGCCAGGAAGCAAGACCTCAGTTTTCCTGTACATTTTCTTTTTTTCATGAAGAGGGCTTGGATTTTATCTCTTTTCCCTTTCCTGTGTTGGTTTTTTGTGTTGTTTTTTTTTAATTGCAGTTGACATACAATATTATATTCATTTCAGGTGTACAACATAGTGATTAGACATTTATATAACTTGTGAAGTGATTGCCATGATAAGTCTAGTACCCATCTGACACCATACATAGATATTACAATATTATTGACTGTATTCTTCCCTATGCTGTACTTTACACCTCCATGACTGTTTCTATGGCTGGCAATTTGTACGTCTTAATCACTTCACCTTTTTCACCCAACCCCCTCCCGTCTGGCAATCATCACTTTGTTCTCCATATCTATTAGTTTGTTTCTGCTTTGTTTGTTCATTTATTTTGATTTTTAGTTTCCACACATAAATGATATCATATATTATTTGTCTTTCTCTGTCTGACGTAGTTCACTTAGCATAATACCCTCTAGGTCCGTCCATGTTGTCACACATGGCAAGATTTCATTCTTTTTTATGGCTGAGTAATATTCCTCTATAGTGTATGTGTACCATATTTCCTATGCCCATTCATCCTGTCACCATTTTTTAATTATTACTTCTGTTCAATTCTCCTTTTCTCCTGGCATTCCAGTTAACTTTTATTACCTTATATTACAGCTTTTCACCGTGTCCCATATGTATTATGTCTTTTCTGTATATTCTTTTTATTCTTTTTTATTCATGCTTCAGTTTCTGCCATTCTATAGTCCAGTCTATTAATTCTCTATTTTGCTGTGGTCTAATCTATTGCATCCATGGGGGGGTGTGTGCGTGCATGCGTGTGTGTGTGTCCGTGTCCTGTCCGTCCGTCCTTTGAGATCACCTGGCCAGAGCTGTCTGACTCAGCTATCACCAGAAAGTAACCAGGCCCAGAACAAGTCGGCCTCTGAATGGTTGATAGTGTGTGGATGTTTTTTTTTAATCCTCACTTGAGGATATGTTTTGGCGGCGGGGGGTGGGGGGGGATTAATCAGTTAATCAGGGGCTGTGTGTGGATTCTTGATTTTGTGCAGGAAAGATCTTATAACACCAGTCTAGGTGATTTTGAGAGTGTATATATTAAAGCTGGGGGCAGTGAAACAAAGGAAGGATTAAGGTAGAGAGAAGCAGCAGCAAGAGAGAACCTGGTGGTGCTCTGCTTTGGTTCCCTAGAAACACTATAGGAAATAAGTGGGCCACGGAAGGGCTGCTGTTAGCTCACTGAAAAGAAAGGAGGCCTTGGCAAAGGGGGTAAGGCCAGGATGAGCTGCTGCCTGTTGCTCTCCTGATTGCAAGTCTTGTGGGAACCCTCAGCATTTACGAGACGCGTGCCTGGGTGGGGAAGAAAGGTGTGGGTGTGCCCCAGAGAGAGCCCACTTGTTAAATTTTTAATGCCAGTTTAGTACTGTGGATTCTATGCCTCTGGTAAAATTTTCTACCTTTTTTTGAATATATTAATCATAATTATTTAAAAATTCTATCAAATACCTGACTCACTTGTAGTTCTTTTATTCTCTTCCCTCCCCTCCGCCACCCCTTGTTCTCCTTGTTTTGGCATTTTGGTTCTGTTTCAGCATGTTAGAATTTTTTATTCAATCTTGACATTGTAGATGAAAAGTTCTAGAGGCTTTGGGTTTTTTATCTTCCTCAAAAGAGGGTTATGTTTTCCTCTGGGAGGCAAATAATTTTGGAAGATCACCTAAATTCTGCCACGGTTAGGTTTTATCCCGTGCATTTGGATTTTAGCGACCTAGCCACTTTCTTCTGCTGGGTTTTATGGAGTGAACTCTATGAATGCATGGTTTATGTATCAACCAGAGTCTTATGACGAGTTTGAACGGAGGCTTTTGGGGGCCCATTTATCCTTGGTTTCCTTTGAAGAATTTATCCCTCAATCTTAGCCCCTTAGGTAACCCTAAATCTCTAGTTTCTTAGCTAAGCAAGACTGCTGCTTTCAGCTTGGGTCTTCATGTGCTTCCTTTCTCTAAAGAATCACAACTCT